TAGCCGCCACCGTAGCCACCACCGCCACCGCCTTTGCCCCCCCCCTTTCCTTTCCCCCACCATGATTCCTCACCTCGGAAGGGCGAGGGAGCAATGGCACCTGTGTTGTACTGTTCCAAAAATGTGCCAAGCACGCTCTCGTCGTGGCGATTTGGATCACGGGCGCCACCAAGCTGCGATTCACAGAAGTCCCACCAAGTCTGCTTGAACGTGGGGTCGATCCGCTGCATGTTCTTGATCTGCTGAACCAACGCCTCTTTGCCCGCCATGGCAATAAAGGCTCTCTTGCCAAAATGGAGCGCGTGCTGGAACTATGGCGCAAGGAGCTACCCAACAAACAGGAAGAAGCACACTTAACAGCTCAACACTTGACACTGCGAAATACACGGCCCAGCAGAGTGGGGCTTACGCTGGTGTCCGAAACGCTGGGGCTCCTTGCTGCCAGTACTAACACTGCAGAGACACGATGCGGCGAGATCATCTGTCCGCGTCCCTTGCCCAGTGCATATGCGTGCATAAGACAAGCCTGTTCACGAAGGCACTTTTTTCACTGCTTTCGAGTTTCGGTTTCGGCCTGCAACTACTACTAAGTTTTCGTTTGGCGACACCATGTGTCAGAGCAATACTGTCCACCACGGACCCACAAGATCGATTTGGAGTGGAACATGGCCGTATGGTCTCAGCTCGGCAACAGCTCGTCCGCTCCTTAACGGCTTCGATGCCGTCGATGCCTTCTACGAAACATTAGATTTCGAAACCATAGGCCCATCACAGCTTGTCTAGGGGTGCTGCCTAGCAGCACCGCGTACACTTTCAAATCAAGCGAGAGCTCCCTGGCTGGTGAGAAAGCTCTCTAGGGAAGGGGTGTCATGGCGCAACGGGTCTCGCATGCCGCCGCACTGACTATCGCAGTATGCCCACCAGGCCTCCTTGGCCGCAGGGTTGGACCGCTGCAAGTTTTTCACTTTCTCTACCAGCTCAAGCTTCTTGCCATCCGGTTCCTCGAAGCGGAATCTCTTCGCAGCCGGCTCCATGCTCATGCTGAAGACGCTGTGTTTGCCCTTGCCTTTGCTCTGGGCAGTGATCTCTTCTATGTTGATGCCTTGTGACACGGCAATTCCCGAAAGGCCGTTGGCTGCAAGCTCTCCCACATAGTCAATGAAGCTTTTGTGGTAGGTGTCGTCATGCTTGAACGGGTCGTAGACACCAGCACCGTACAAGGCACAGTAGGTCTGCCATGCATTCTTCCAATGTGGAGACACCCTCTGTCCGACCTTGACGAAATCCGCAAAGCTCATTCCGGCCATCATCGGCATGCCCCACATGTCCGGTGGCGGCATCATGTTGTAAGACATGTCACCCTTCATGCCTTTGCCCTTGCCCTTTCCCTTGTTCCACCATTCCTCTTCGGGCCGTGGTGCTGAAGGGGCAATGGTGCCGTTGTTGTAGCCTTCTACAAAATTGACTAGGATGCTCTCGTCGTGTCTGTTGGGATCACGTACACCGCCAAGTTGTGCTTCGCAAAAGTCCCACCAGGTTTGTTTGAAAGTGGGGTCGCCCCGCTGCAAGTTTTTGATCTGCTGAACATACTCCGCCTTGCCCGCCATGCTAAGATACAGGAGCAGGCGCTCGCGCCAACTACTCCGAGCGGCACTACACCCTTGAACCAGTGCAGCCCAAACTCCTGCTGTTGCTATTGGCTGAAGGAAACTGGAAAAGCAAGGCAGGTAACAACGCAGATGGAAACAACTGCTTGACCTGCAACGTGAAACAGAAGCAACGAAGAGAGCGGAGGGACCTCTTCGCATAGGCCAACAGCTGCTCACGCAACCATGGTCCCACGTCGGCTAACTTCTTGTTGCCACCGGCATCACCTGGGCCAACGACTCGGGAAGTGGAGAAGCACGCGCTTTGTATCAGTATCAGTGTAAGGGGAAACGCTGCTCTGAAATCTCTGAAGCGCCGGCGCTCACCAGAGCTTTTCAGAAGCGTGTCACCGCAGCCCTCGGCCACTACAATGACGGCCTGGGTCGTTGTCATGGCAATTTAATGGGTGCCAGGCAAACACCTCGATCTGAGATCCTCCCCTGCTTCTGTCGCAAATGACGTTCGTAACAGGAACGAACTAGCGGCACTAGTGAAGCAACCTCGCCCTCCTGCCGAGAAGATAGATCGATTTTAAGCTTCCTTTCGCACAGCTCATTCAGAGGCTGAGAATCCGGCATGACCTTTTGTTTTCATCAAATGCATAGCGTGGTGCAGAACCCGTGGTAAAGAGATGTCCATCTCGGGCAGTAGGCAAATGTCAACGCTGCCTGCACCGGAGCACTCTTTCACAAAATACCTTTCAGGATTCTTCCGCATCAAAGGGTATCTGCACAGTTAGACTTGCAACCGCGGCTTGCAGAACAACCGTGGTGTTAAGAGTCAGACGTGCTGCCAAGGTGGCATGCAGGGCAATGAAACCGCAATGCCGACCTTGGCAGGGCAGTGACTTGCCACCTTTCCGACACCGTTGTTTCCGCACCAGGCCCAATGCCCATGAGCTTCACCAGGCCAATGCAGTGCGAGTTGCACGTGGCCTCCACCTGGACATGTGAGCAGCAAGTGCAGCAAAGCTTGATGCTACAAGTATTTCAGGATGTCAAGTCTCCTTTCCTGCCCAGCTCCATGCTTCTTATGCTTCTTGGCTCCAGGCGTAGGCGGAATCAATCGCCTGAGTCAAGGCATGACATGGGGACGAGCTTCCGGCCATCTTTGGAGCCGCGAAAGATGCGAGCTCAAACACCAAGCTGAAGGAGGACATGCCAGCGAGCGAGCTCCAGAGCTCCATGGCCTTCTCCGCCTCGCTGCAGGCGGTGTTGAAGCCGAAAGACCTCAGCAAGCATTTGCTGGGCGTGTGCGCATTCATTCTCTTGCTGTGGCCAACCTGTCGAGGACGGGGATGTCATTGTCAATGGTCTTGGGCACACCAACCTCTCCGGGAAGTCTTGTGAGTCTTGTGGTGTGCTCATGCAGCGCGCTACGTGACCATGCCCTCGCGACAGCACCGTGATGGGAAGTATCTTCGGCCAACTAATTGCAAACTTCCGCGTGACAAAACACATGCAATGTTTGCCACCCCACATGCAGGCCGAGGTGCCACGGCAACCTCGTGGCCAATCTCCTGGGTGCAAGAGAAGGTCTCGAACGCGCCCGCTTGCGTGCCATCGCCACCAATCACGAAGTATTGTTTGACATTCCTCAGATCTGCAGAACCCTTCAAGCTCGGGTGTTGGAGAGCACATTCCGTCACATGCTGGCAAAACATAGCAGACATAGCAAAACTGCCGCAACGTTGTACCATTTCTTGCTCTGGCTATCAACTTGTTCTCGCCCGGTCATCCGTGACAAATCTTTCCGGCCCTAAACAACGGCGTCCATTTCTGTACCGTGTGTGCGGCCTTGTCTGTGGCAGTGCCGCAGCTCTGAATGTTGGTTGGAGTTATGCGCCCTGCAGGTGTACCTCATCTATCCTCATCCGACTTGGCGCACGAGCCGCAGTGTCAATCGCCCGATCTCACTGCCACCGAGCAGCTGCTTCTGCAAAGTCTGGGCAATTTCCATATGCGCAGGGTTGCCTAGGATCAGAACCAGGCCAAACCGAAGAACGGAAAAGCACACAACCGCATGCCCTGCAAGAACATGCTCTGACATGCACCAAGGAGCCACGATCACTGACAAGGATGGTGCCTCCTTCCTTGCGGAGGAACCAGACATGGCACCCGGACCCCAAACTGTTTCAGACTTTCCAAGAATATCACGTGCCAGTCCTTGTGGATGTCCTGCACAACGTCCGGCGTCAGGGTCATCCAAGTGTCGGGCTGCACCATGCCTCCAAATCTTACAACCAGGCAAGAACAAATTACACTATGTGCGATCCTTTTCCACAACACGCTGCCTTTGTAGCCTCCCCTGCAGCCGTAAATGTTCTTTACACCATATCGGGCCAAAGTCATCACCTCAGCCACTCCCGTGTTGCAGTTCTGTGCGTGCGCTCAGAACACCGCAATCGATTTGTCAGAAGTGCTTAGCCAATGCCAGTACATAAAAAATGCCGGACTCTCAGATTTTTCAGTGCCCGAAAGAAGCTTTTAGGTGCGGACTAACTCGCGAATCACCTGGGCAGACATCAGAACATGACTCTGGGTACCTTGCTGCATCACCGACTTTGTCTTCGTACTCTGGGGTGGTGGCGGAGTTCAAGCCGGGGCACAAGCCTTTGAGGCTGGAAGTCTACAGAACGTCGCTTACGACATGAAGAGTTCAAAGCCTCCACACGTGACGATCACGGCCGAGCTTGCACTTGGAGCCTGAGAAGCAGATCTTAAAGTCCGACTGCTAGAGAAAACCCATTTCTTTGGGCAAACCTCGGCAGTTGCAAGAAGGCTGCGATGTTTTTGGGCCTTGGGCCTACGCGACCAATCCCGGGCAACTGGCAAAGTGCAAAATCTTCCGTGGGCCGCTGCGCAAGAGCTGGAGGTAGGCCTCACACTCACACAAAGACAGCGAACTCACAGGCAGGTCGGAAGGCAGGAACTAGAGCTGCAGCGCAGCAACTTGCAACCCCGTGGCTGCATGCGCCGGCTAAGCCTCCGGCACGGCCCCGGTCATCACGACGGTTATGGCGCATGAGCGTCTGCGTTGACCAGGAGTCCGGGCCCATGGCCATATCGCCAGGAAACTGGATCTCATTCACTGCCTGCAGGCTGTGAAGACAACATGGGCGTCTACTTGACTTGCTAGCGACACAATGCCAGCGATACAAAATAACTACCAGTAGCATGATGTAGCACGGCGGCATGGCTCTGAAGCTCCAGCCTGTGCTGATGGGAACTGGTCACTCAAGTTGACCACCTGCACAAGGCCACTGACACAAGATGTTGTGCTCGCTGGATGTGCGGATGTTGATCTAGCTCGACTGTTGTTGGTCCGACCCCCCTTGATTGTAGAGGGATGCCTACTTCCGCATCTTTGCAGACGAGCTCGGCAAGCAGATCTTGCTACGAGCTTTGGTAAAGATGTCCCACACAATCTATTCAGGGTGGTTGTCTGTAGGTCGGCTTTCGGATGCTTTGGGATGCTGACAGTTCTCCAGGAAGGGAGCGTCAACAAGGCTCCAGGTTGTATTGACATGTTTCGTTTTCCTGCACGGGTCTCCGGTGAAGTATGCGAAGGGCCTCCAGGCGTTTGATGGTATCGCCCGTCTGCAGCAGCTCGTTGATGCTGCTGTGCTTGGACAACGCCTTGCGAGGTACAGCGTCCAAACTGCGTCCGGCTCTGGATGTGTGTAGAGGTCAGGGCTGTTGCTGATGGCTCGGGCGGTTCCTGGCAGCCATGCCTTTTTAAGCAAATATCTCTTGCAGGCCCCAGGTTCTGTTGACCCGGCGCTCATAAGCTCCATGTCGGCCAGCATTGCCTGACAATTCCGGCAGTATTTGCAAGCAGTTTCCAGTAACCCAACGACAGACACGTCAGTCTGTTGCGAGCATGTTTGACTTCTACATAGTCTCCCTTCATTGCGCAGTTTGACTTGAATCACACGTCGACTGGACATTCTCATGCCAGAAACTTCGAATCAAACATCACCAGCGCCTGTCGCACCCATCAGAGTGCTCCTCATGGCACGGTGCCAGAAGGCATTGAGGAACAGCTGCCAGTCACCTGGGAGAGTACTGCAATAGAGGCGTTGGCAAGCCTACAAACGAAAGGACACTGCCATCGCTTCTGTCTGATCAGCTCCGATCACCTGGGAGTCTCCTGGTTGTTGCACGTCTCGTGGGCTTGGGGCCGGGCCGACATCATCACGCATCTTCAGCCCACTGGGGGCATGCAGCGCCCAGTTGTTCTCGACGCACTGGTTGCAGACCTGCCGCTGACATGGAGCCCTGGCCCTGACGCCTCTTACGGAACTGAAGCCAAGACACCCCGTTCTCCAAAGCATAAGACCAAAGCTCGCGCGACCAATCCTGAAGACTGCGGGAGTCTTAAGCAAGCTGCTGGATCACGAGCAACCAGATCGTCTTTGCAGGCTGAGCGTCATAATCCTGAAGGAGCTCTCGAGTGGTGATGGATGCCTGGCCCCACACTTAGGTCACACTGGCACTGTGCCGAAAGACAAAGCTGAGCTGAGCTGCTCCACTGTTCACTACTACGCTGACAGACAAACAAGCACATTCAAGTCATTTCAACTCATCTGGCCTCGCATGCCAAAGCCGGGTCACCAAGCTCTTGCAACGTCTTGCGGGCCTTGTGATGTCCACTTGTTGACAACGACGAGTAAAACGCACACATTCAGGCGCAAGTCGCGCATGCTTCGCATCAGACCGGTGCATAGCAGCTGTGACCGCCCTGTCCCGGCCTTCCTCCGGATGCGGCGTGGCCCTAACAGCTCGACCAAACTGCGATTATCCTTGCGAAGGGGACGAAGGAACGCATGAGGAAAGCTTTCGCTTTGAAGTGAACTTGCGGAATCCTTGGCGATCAACTCCAGCCACATCAGGTACTCCTTCCTCAGGCAAGATGTGATTTGACTTTGCATGGTACTCAGCATTTCCAAGTGTTGAAGCAAGGCTCACGAAAACTGGGTTGTTGGCGTCGAGCTCGTAGGCCCTCCGATAGTACGGACCTGCACGTTCACTCTGCTGCAAGTCATAGTCCAAATGGTGCCTTAGCTGCTCAGATCACTGTATTCCTCCAGGACCGAAGCAGCGACGCACCAACATCTCAGTCTGCTGCCCGCGGATGTACTGAAATGCAGCATCGTCAGACCCATGCCTGCTCAACGGCACACTCGCAGCAAGCCACTGTGCACGCCACTTCGTGCAGCGGCGAGACTGCTCTGCCCACTGGAATAGTGCCTGGCTGACCTCAAATGGCAACTGTTGATATGTCCTCCTCTTCGCGAGACTGCCTCACCCACGAATGCTTCTGGCCTTGCCCTGCCCCATCTTTCGGAACGACAGCGCCAGGTCTGCAGCGCGAGAAGCACAGTGTGCAGGCTCCTTCGCTCTGAACATGCGAAAAAAGTTGCGTGAATGCGTCATGACTCATGACATTTGTATGCCCAGTCCTCTGCAAGGCAGCGTCGCAGCATGGGCTCCCAAGTTTGAAGGTCTTCGACGCTGCCAGCTTTGGCACTCTTTGGTACCTCCTCACGACAGAATCAATTTCAAATGGCTCAAGGCAGAGCGGAACGACATCTGTTGGCTGAGACTCCTCGTGCCGGCGCAGCCGCAAGACTGCAAACTCTGCATTGGCCCACAGAAGCCTTGGACATCAACGTGTCAGCCGGCTAGGAAGCACCTCCCTTGCAAGCCAAGAAGCTCGAACAGTGGAGATGCCAAGGCCCGAGGACAGAACAGGTCCTGCCACGGGCGCTCGCCCTCCTTGCAACGTTGAGAAACTTGGCCAGAGCCGTGTGAAGCAGGTCAGCGCGAGTGGCTGCAGGCTCCTTGCAGTTCACCTCGGGATACTTGTCCAGAAGGAACGGCCCGAAACCTGAATGCCATCCGCATACAAGCTTGGCATAGCCTCGAGTCACATGAAATACTGGAGCCTGAGGCATGGGCTACATCGCTTGAATTCAAGGATCACGTATTGAGACCCATACTTCTGCATGGTTTTGGCGAAGCTTGCCTTGATTGGAAGACACAGAGCCAGCCACACGATGCTTGCATGGTTCATGCCGGTCTTACCGGATGGGGTACTACTTCCACTGATAAGCTACCGAGCTGCCGGTGGGGTACATTGGTACCACTGATACAGCTCCTCTGGCCGTCACTGAAATTCGCACTCAGTAGAAATAGAAGAATATGGGACTCAGGAGTGTCACGAATATTTGACTTAAGACAAGGGCGCACACACCACAGACTGGACACCAAGTGAGGCAGTCGCAAAACGGTCCGTCCTGCACGCGGTCGCGCAAATGCTGTGCCTGGCAGGGCTCTCTGGCCAATCAACACAAAGCGTCATTGCAGTATTGGGCTTCCCCCCCGACGTCTTGCTGCTTGCTGCAGCTGCCTCGAACTGCGGATGGATGGCCACACGCAAAGGTGTGGTCAGTCGGAGCTCTGCACTTAAAGGCATGGCCGCGAGGACGATTTCGTCCCGTGGCACATTCCGCCTAGAGCCAAGCCGGAGAAACAAGACTAGATGCCCAAAAGAAGAACAACGAAAAAAATCCTGCCAAGCCGAGATGCGTCATCCAGTTGAAAAACTCTCCGCGATCGCCATCGGGCCAGGACTTGTCAGCGTGGATGCCTTCGCACGGGGCAGAAGCTGCCACGCTTCTGACGACTTGGTACTTAAGACTTGGGATGTTATGAGATGGCGCGGTAATGCCACGTGGCGTCAGTAACAATCATCAACCTGAATATCAATCGCAGAAGCCACGCTGCCCTAACAGCTTCTGTGGCCAAGGCACTGACATGCCTGTTCTCGATGAAGGGGAGCTTGTATGCTAAAAATGCCAGCTGTCCCAGCTGAGCAGCTGCAGCGATGGCAAAAAGGCCTATCCTCACGCCACTTCTGCCGACACAGCTCGATTCCGGCACAGTTCCGCGATTCCGCAATACCCTATCAATTCAAACCATCCCTCAGACAATGCCAGTGTTTCTTGCCGGGACTCCGAAGCGCTCGCAGAGGCCGTGGCCCGGTCGATGCAGCGCCAAAAAGCGTGCTCAGCGGTCGAGGGCCCAAACCCGCAGTCGCCCAAACAAGCAGGAATGGGACGCCGATGCCTTGGCTTGCACTGCTCATCCGCAGAGACGCAGCAAGAAAACGCAGCACAGGCACCCAAAAAATCTGCGGACAATAGACCAACAGCTCCTTTGTTAGGAAAAAGTTGAACATTGGGTGCTATATAAGTTATATGGTGTTAGCCCTACCATGTTGTGGACATCGCCGCTATGATTGGACGATATTGGACCCAGGGCCCTCTCGGCTACAGATTTGGGAGTAGGCGCGACCCCCTCCGTTACACGACCTGGAGAATCCAAAAACGGAGCTGCGACGGCGGTGTAACGGAGCTGCAATGCAGGCGTAATGGAGCTGCAATAGAATGTGTAACGGAGCTGTAGGGGATATGTAACAGAGCTGTCTCGGAGGTAACGGCACTGTATACCGGAGATGCAACGGAGCTGTAGCGGAGATGTGGCGGAGGTGCAACGGATTAACGGAAGTGTCCACTGCAGCGGAGGTGTAAGGCAGGTGTGGCGGAGCTGCAACGGAGCTGTCACGGAGGTGCAACGGAGATCTCACAGGTGTAACGGAGCTGTAACGGAGCTGTATCGCTGCAACGGAGGCGTGACGGAGCTGTGGCGGAGATGTACAGTACGGAGCTCTAGCGGAGATGTAACAGAGCTGCATCGGAGGTGTAACGGCGCTGTCAAGGAAGTGTAACCGAGATGTCACGGAGGTGTAAACGAGCTGTGGCGGAGATGTAAAGGAGCTGTAACACAGGCGTAATGGCGCTGTAAAAGAGGTGGGACAGAGAGAGATGTCACGGAGGTGTAACGGAGCTGCAGCGGAGCTTTAACGGAGGTGCAACGGAGCTTTAACGGAGGTGTAACAGCGTTTTATAGAAGGCTGTCACGGAGGTGTAACGGAGCTCTAGCGGAGATGTAACAGAGCTGCAACGGAAGTTTAACGGTGCTGTAACGATCTGTAACGGATCGAGGCTCTGGCCGCTGTATCTCGAACCTGTTACAAGGCGCCGGATCCTTATCATAAGCCCCATAGCAGGACATGGTGGAATTGAAGCCCAAGTTGAACATATTGCGGACTTAGGCTCCACGCCCCTGCAGACAAAGTGCACTTGAGCCGACTTATGAAGCAGCCGAGTACCAAGAAAAAAGCTGTCTGGACCAGCAGCACGCTGGAGCCGAAGGCATGTGCATAGCCTGACCGGCTTGCGAGGACTTGCCCAGAGAAACGACTTGAAGAGCTCAAGCGGCCTTCACCAAGTGCTTTGTCTTCTCGTCCTTCCTGTCCTGCCTGTGGCAGTATGTTGACCATGAAGGCGCCTGAGAACCAAAAAGAAAAATGTCAATCGAATCTGCGCACTTCGCCGTGCACCTGCTTGAAGAAGGGCGGCCGCTGCCGCAAAATGGTAGACTTTGGTCTGGAAGCCCACTTCGATGTTTTTCCAACCTTTCAATGCTGTTTGGCTGCACACCGGCTCTCCGCGCTAACTGCGCCTGCTCATGTCCAAAATCTTGTATAGCTCGGGCCAGGACTGATGAAA